AATAAGAACAAATCCCAACTTTCACCTCAGAATAAAAACAAAACAGCCTCATCTCCACCTCAAAATAGAAACGAAACAAAACTTCCATCTCAAAATAAAAACGAAACGACTCAAGTTCCACCTCAGAATAAAAACGAAACTCAACTTCCGCCTCAGAATAAGAACGAAACAGCCTCACCTCCACCTCAAAATAAAAACGAAACGCAACTTCCCTCTCTGAATAAAAACGAAACAACTAAGCTTCCATCTCAGAATAAAAACGAAACTGCCCCACCTCCACCTCAGAATAAAAACGAAACTGCCCCACCTCCACCTCAAAACAAAAATGAAGCTCAACTTCCACCTCAGAATAAAAACGATGCAGCTCAGAATAAAAACGAAACCAATAACTTTCCGATGAACAAGAATGATTCATTCCGTAAACAAAATGCGATAGATGCGGTTGCTTTAGAGGAAGTTTTTAAATCTTTAACTGCGAATTCAAGATGTACTGAGGGCCAGAATGCTTGCGTTGAAGATAAAGTTGCTACTTGTGTTGGTGGAAACTTTATCTTATCAAAATGCATGAACAAAATGAAGTGTCATGTGTTGCCACTAGTAAACAAGCCCGGAACGACAGTTGCGTGTGATACTGATGAGAATAGAAACGCACTCATCAAAGACGCTCTTAAGTCATGATTTCATAAACGCGATTATATTTATATTTAAGATGTTGGAGAAACTGATTTTAACGCTAGAAATTTTATGCTTATAATAGAAAGTTGCACGTATTTTATATTTTCGTCTCAAATAAACTAAAATAAAAGGGTAGTTGCCTTTTTTTGCTTTTCATCGAAATCTTGTGTTGATTACTCAATTTTTACTATAATCAACGTTCATTAACAAACATACAAAAGAACATTTTTATATAGAAAATTATTATTTTTTACTATGAATTCATTTGTATATCTATTGGGTTTATAGTAGTGGGAAGTGACCCAGATCTCGGTGCTTCGAGCTGACCAAATATTATAGACTTAATAATAAGATATTATATATTTTAATAAAATTTATTTAATTATCATAAAGCCTTCGTGGTATAATGGGTAATGCCCCTGACGTAAAAATCGAAGCGAAATCACTTTTTTACAAAAAAACAAAGAATAGTTCTAAATTTTAATTAGGAAATCACCTCCTGCGACCTAATTAAAAACGTTCCTCGTAAAATTTTACCAATAGTTCCTAATCATAACGCGGTTTTCTTAGTTTTAGTTTTGCGCAACTTTTTTTACTTATCGCGTTACTATTAAGGGGTTGTAAATATTAACCGCGACAAAATTGTCACTCGTGAGAGCGACGATCAATTTTCTATTTTTGTTGAAAAATCAAAAAGTTAATTCCGGGCCAAAGATTTTGCAGATCACGATGACAATTTTGGGGGTCTTCTAATATATATTTCATTGAATTAACTTTAGGGTTAAGGTTATCTTATATTAAGGCTAGGCAGGTTTTAGATAGTTATATGTGCAAAATTGCCTTCACAACATATTTACTTAACCCACCCAAGGTAGGTTTAGACTGCTATTTTTTTATTTTTCAAGTTTCTTTCTTGATTTGTTTCGCCAAAATTCTATAATTTGATTGGTCTAATATCGAGGCAACTCATATTTATAACTTTTTCGATTAACTTTAGGATACTTTAGGGTTAGGGGCATCCTATATTAGGGTTAGGTTTGGTTTTAGGCAGTTATATATCAGATATAAGCAAAATTGCCTTTTGATTAACCTACTAGACATTTGATTGGCCGAAGATCACATGATTTGCCTCCGCTTTAAATAGGTACTGCGTCAACTTCTATTTATTTCCCCCTACAAACTCTTGAAAAGGGTTAGGTGCGAAAAATACAAGAAATGGTATTAAAAAAATGGCATACTGATTTTAACGATGCCTCTATAAATCGTAATATTTAAAAGAAGTTTATAGCGATAGGCAAAGCTGTAAAATTAGGAAAGCCAGGTGCGTTCACGTGACTAACAGCCAATCAAGCCGTCGAGAAATTTCAGATATGCTTGTATAACGATAACAGATTATGATAACGATAATCATTCCTCTCTCTCCTACTAATTATAATGTTTACACGCTATGCTGTTCCAAAATCCCATTTTTTTATTAGGCAATATGCTTTGAAATCAATGCATAGAAATTTTATTAAACATCCTCCATTATATAGAGTTTATCATCATAATCCTTATAGTCTTGGTTCTGTAAAGGTTTTGCCTTATCTAAGATTTTAAATGCTATTTTTTTTATTCTTCAGGATGTGATTTCATATTTTTTTACTTAATTCTTATGTATTGTGATTAAATACGGTGTTTCTCTAAAAGACTTTAAGAGCAATAGCCACTTTTGTCGGCGTTATAGGCACAACTTATTGGTATGTGCAAAGAAATAGCTTTGCGTTTACCGATTCGGTGGATATGATAAACTCGAAATCTTTTACAACTGGTAATGTGTACAAATTTATAATTTATAATTCATTTTATTACTTATATTTATAAAATTTATAGAAGAACCTGAAAGTAAACTTCCTATTCCGACGTACATATCTCTATATGATGGAACAAAAGTGAAACTAATAGGACTAGGTATAAGAACTGTATCATTCTTGAAAATAAAAGTTTATGTTGTAGCAATGTATATTGGTGAAAGTGATATAGAAATCTTGAAAAAATGGAAGGTATCACAATTTATTGCATAGAAATGTCATTTGGTACATGGCGCATTCAGTGCTTCTTATCAATTATTGATTAAGTCAATTAGATTGCTCAATCTCGCTTGTTAATGCATTTTAACGAACTGCTAACCTTAACCCAACCTGAAGATAGTAAAAAATAGGATGCACAAAATGCACCCATGTACTATTTCTTTTGGTATACCGATACAGTATATAAAAAATCTATTATACGTACGCCTATACCCATTATTTTAATTAGGGTTATGACAAAGCAAAGTTTTTATCATCAACTGATGAATCGGTTGCGTCAAATTTATTGGACCAACCTGTAGATATCGTTATTCGCATAGGTGATTTTTGTTATTTGTATTTCGATTAATCCAAATTTATAATTTTTTAAATAACTCTAATTATGAAAAGAACCTGTGCGAAATACTAATGGTCAACATTTACGTGATGGATTCGTGCGTGCCCTCACGAACAGAATGCAGAATGGTTATTTAAATGATGATGATGTTGAGGTATTGTTATTTTTTATAATGATGAAATATACTTCAAATTATTATTATGACTTTTCACCTTTCTTGTAGGATGTACTTGAAGCTCTAAAGGAGTTTAAAGCTCAATTTCCTAAATCATTGGTTAAAATTGGTACCGCAATGATCTTAACAAAACAAAAAGATGGTTATTTAAGAATTGAATATGAAGTTTGTTTATTTATTTCTATATTATATACATATATATATGTTATTATGTATTATTTACTTTAACTTTTTTAATTTAATTAGGGAGCTTATTGTGGTGTTGTAAAAAATAAATGGTTAGCAAAAAATCTTTTCATGAGTTATTTGGCTGCAGACAATCCTATTTCTGAAAAAGTATTTTCTTATTTTATATTTATTTTACAATTTTTATTATTAAATAATTATTTAGTAAATTTATTTATTTATTTTAATAATTAGGCAAAAATTAGCATTGCTGAAGGATTTGATAAAATACTAAATATGAAAAACATAGTTTAATTATAAAAAAAAATTATAGCGATAGATTTTTTAAAATTAATTTTATTTATTTGTTTTTGTTAAAATCTAAAAAGTAGGTTTATAAGCGAATTTTGAATTATTATATTACATGTGTTTCAAAATGTACTGTATATAGCTAAAAGTTTTAAAAAATTAATTATTACTAATACAGTATACTTTATATATATAGCTATGTATAAGTTTAATATTTTTTGATTATAATTTTTACTTAAAAAATTTGTTCCTTGGACTAAAAGTAATCCGATATAATACAGTAATTGCCCATTATAATATTTGAGTTTGTTTGCTAAACTTTACCTTGCATTGTCCGGGTAGCTGGTTGTAAACAAACATCTTTTTTTTTTTACACATATACATCGTACAAATTTAGCTTAATTTGCATGCAAGTTAACAAAGTTGGTCTAAACAAATCTGGAAATGTTCAACAATTTCGTCTAACCTTTAATTATAAATTTAAATAACAAAATGGGTATATACATTAAAATTGTTTATAAAAATCTTTGAAAATATTAATTGGTTAAACAGTAGATTTATATTATAAAAAATTCATTAACAATGAAAAAAATTGTTAGTATAAGAATTATTGTACATAAATATATATTAACGCGATATTTATGATGAATTTTTAATAGTATTTATACAATTTACATATATGCAGATTTTGACTTCTTAACTTGTTATCAGAGTTCATAATATTAGACCATATAAACTTAATATAGTGGTTCTCAACCCGGCCGAACAGATTTTTGCTATACTTTTGTACATTTTTGAAATATAATATTAATGACGCCGGATCTCTTAAAAATTTGAGAACCAAGTTATAAATTTTACATGGCCTATCACACATATTGCCAGAATTTTGCCATATTGTCATACATCAGCTTTCTAGTATCATATACACAGACCCGGGTCTGTTTCATTCCACCAATTTTTAAATCCCTTAGTAGACCCGGGGTCTAGCACTCGCCCAGAGGTTACATCATGAAAAGAAAAAATTTAAAGTGCATACACACTTTGTATTTATAATAGGCATTCTAACTATTTGAATAAGATTCTGTGGTTCGCACCCGGGTCTAATTCATGATGGGTCTACTTATTTGGGGATCTTGTATATGAACTTTTACGGTAGTCATTCAAACAAAAAAGAGAAAAAAAAAAAAAATGCACAAAGACGAATTTTAAGAAAAAAAAAAAAAATAAAATAAAAAAATAAAAAATTTATAGTTACAAATGTACAAATGATTTTTTAAATTTTAGTGTTGAGTACTGTTCGCTATTTATGAATTCGATATTACATTATTAATACGACTATGTGATCAGAACAGGAAAAGGATTATTATAGTTAACAAATTCATCAGGAGAGTGAACAGGTGTATTCTCATTATCCAATAAAGGAGATGTTATATTTGCAAATTGACCGAGATCGACATTTGGGGATTGATGAGGAGTTGTCCCACAGAGAGGTGATATTGTCCCATTATGTGGACTGGAAAAAGGCGTTGTTGTGATTTGAGATATGTGAGGTGTGTCAAAAGTACAAGCAGCCGTACCCGGAGACATATGGAGAGTAGTAGCACCATATTGTAAGCTCTGGAATGAAACCATATTAGAATAATTATTTTTAAGATAAGTTGTTAAGTCTGTACGAGCGTTTGGATATTCACATAAATTATCAACATCAACGAAAGTAAAAGGAGGAGGATAATCAATTGACGGAGACAGTAAAAAGGAGGGGGTATCGTTGCTATTGATGATGTTGTGGTTGTTGGACAGGTTGTTATTGATGTTACCGACCTTACTTCCAGGTGAAAAGACGAACATTTCCGGTGATTGCTGTGGAGGGTTATCGGAAGAAGTCCAAACATCTATTACGGATAAACGATGTGAACTGCAAGTGTTTGCATGATCTTGTAAAACTTGTAACGCGGTTGTTTGAGAATATTCCTGAAAAAGATGAACTATTTTCTCATAATGTTCTTCAGCAACTCTACAAGAAGTTTCATTTCCCACAACTTTATTCAAAGCATGAATCATTCCAGCTTGTAATAAACACCAAGTAGTACAATTAAGGAATCCCCTAAAAGGGGATGAATAATTACGAAGTATTGAAGCACCAATTGGAGTAACCTCTTGTGCTGCTCGAATACATTTTGAAAGAGAATCTTGATTTAGAATATATCTTCTATGAAGAAGGATGATAAAAGAGTAATATAACATTCTAAGATGTAACATTGTTGTAGAACAATTGTTTGAGTTATCAATAAGAGAATCTGTAGTATGAGTAGATTGTATAGGTAAATGAGAAAACCAATCTTGAATTTGATCTTCAAAATTAGCCACAATACTATCTTGATTAAGATATGGAGAAGTAGTTGAAACTTTATAAGAAAAATTATGTTTTAATAGTAAGTGAAGCATTCTAGTGAATTTAATTTGATGAATAAATTCTCTAAGGGCACCATCAACTTTTAATTCAGGTTCATTTACATTTTCATCAGGTTCAGGAATAGTACATTCTTCTTCTTCAATATTACTTGCTTTACCAATTCCGCAACAAACTAATACGTCTACCATAAATAGAGACCACCACAAACGTTTTCTTAATTCTTTATGAGAACGATCAAGATGAGGGTCATCACAATCCTTATTTAAATCCAATTCAAGAGCCATACGAATAGCCATTCCAATATACATCCATCTACGAAAATAACCAGGGGAAATTCCAGACCGCCTAGTATTATGTTGTTGATAAATTGACATAAGGATAAGAGCAGCTATAGTAGACATTCTCGGAGCATCCAAAAAAGAATCAAGGATATTACGAGCTCTATCAAAAAAGACCCAACCACCTTTTTCATGAGATTCAGAATCAGTGCGCACAGATGGACGATCAGAAAATTCAGCAGCGACGGCAAACATAGCATTAAGTAACAAGAGAGAAGGAGGATCATCAGGATTCTCACGTTGTTGTAAAAAAATTGATTTATTTAGAACTGGAACGTAAGGATGGACATTGGCCCAATAGAGTTCAAGTAAATGTTCAACGATATCGTCGGGAGGTATTACATGATCATCAATTAGAGGTAATTTTGGTTCCGGTTTAGCAACAGAAATCGAATTGCTTGACAGGATTGTTGAAGCTATATATTGAAAATATAAATATATATATATATAATATATATATATAAATATATATTTCATTTTTATTATATGTATATATAGAATTAAATAAAAATAATGATAATTGAAATGATGACGACTATTATTGATAATAAAAAAAATTACATTGAGGGGAAGGAGCCGAAAAAATTCCTTGGGAAGTAGGATTACGACGGAGAGCTGGAGGTAGAGTTTGACGTTCTGTGACATCATCTAAAGGACGTTTTCCATGAGAAGCTTGTATACCGAAAATAGAAGAGTCAGTAGAAGTAGTTGAAATCTGAGAACTTCCCGAAGAGCTGCCACGCGTTGTGGTAGTGTTATTATTAGTATTTTCTATTGTTTCTTTATCTCTATTTTTATTGCGAGTAGTTTTTTCAATTTTTACATAAGTACAACTAGTAGAATATTTCTTGCAGTTTGCGCAAGGATTTCTACCGTCGCATCGAATTTTTCGATGACGACAAAAAGAGCAAGCCATTTGAACACGTTGACGTTTGATAAAGAATGGATCATCAATCCATACGACCGAAGAATAACTCATTTTTTTTTAAAAAAAAAAAAAATCAAAAAATAATGACTTTGAGTTGGCCGTTACCACTAAAATAGAAAAAATGGATATGAATAAGTGAATAACATTTTCTTTTAAAAGATTTGATTTAATAATCACATTATAATAATAGAAAAAGAACTCACGTAAATAAGATAATGTTCGTGGGCGACAATAGAAAAAGGCGAAGCTGGATTTATTGTTCGTTTTTTAAAGAGCGCTTATATTACAAAAAAAAAAGCAGATAGCGATTTATGACATAAATATTGATTATCCGATTATGAAAGAAATTTAAAGGAATCGAGGGTATCAAAATATATAATAGGATAATGTTCGTTAGAATAGTAGTTAGGAGAAAGGAAATAAAAGAAAGGAAGATTTGGTTTGGTGATATTGATATGCGTGAATCAGTGTATAATTTATAGTAGCTTGCGATTTTGCACTTTATAGTATGGCATATACTAAAATAATATATACAATACAATATTTAGAAAAATGCGCATACAACCAAGAATTATGGGTTTAATTTAATTATATTTATTTTTATTTTTTTAAAAAAAAATTTTTTTTTTTTTTGACTATTTATTTTAAAAGAAACCGCTAAAGTGAATGTTCTTCGATCAATTAACCGACCGTATAGAACAATATTCAAACTGAACGTGGTTGAAGATTTTTCAGAGATGAAGTCCATATATATATATAGATTTCCAGCGGAGATCCATTGGACCTTTTTTAGATATTCAAGATTATATTTTTTTCTTTAATAAAGACCTGTTAATATGCGGATTTACACAGGTTCTAGTCGGGTTGCACTGCTGCTTCATGCGTCCAAAAGCGAAAAAAATGTGACAATAACAATTGTGAAAATATACATTGGAGTTTTTTTTTTAACAAAAAGTTGGCGGGAATACATTTATTGTAATTTGCTTTAAAAAAAACTTCCCGAGTTCCCGTCAATATTGTGCAATGTTACTTTTTAAATAGACGTCGATATTATTCTATCTGCATGGTTTTTTTATTCGGCTGGTGCGACTTTGTTAAAAAACAAAAATGATTATATATGATATAATATATAAAATAAACAAAAAAAAATAAAAGTAGTACATACCAAGCCTTATATAGCAAAGGTATTTTTAAAATGGTTGTACGAAGGGCGTACATGTGGCATGTACTGTAAGACAACGGAACAAGAGGCTTGAGATACACGATAACACTTGACGTGTGGCTCATGCCGTGGCCAACACATTGATTACACACAGGTTCATTGAACTTTCATCATATCATCAATGATCCTGTAATTAATTTATAACACAACGAAAAATTCTATTTGTAGCGTGATCTGTTATTTTATTGTTTCTCTGCCCAGCTTTAACTATTCATTGTTCAATTTACAACCATCAATCAAGTCAATACAATTGAGGCTGTGTGTTCCATATTAAGTAATATAAAAAGGATTTTCAGTACGTGAATCAACTAAACGATGGGAAAATCGTGAAATGCAAACTAAAGTATGTACGTACGTACGTAAGTACGTACTTATATGTTTAGGGAGTGTGGCGGGTGTTAGAAAAAGGCATCTGATAAAGGATATTACTAATGATCAGTTTTTGATCAATGTTTTGACCAACTATAATGTTCTGATCATTGCCGATGATTATGGGAAAATGGGAAACGCGTAAAATTATCATAAAAAGTGTTACCCTATCTCTATATGCGTTTTCTTCATATATTTAAATCCAGTACGATCTTATCATTTTCTTTATCAATTAGATTTGGTTTCTCCGATTGGTATCAATAACCAATGCTTGGTAAATATTGACTGTATTATTGTACGAATAAAGTAATAGTTCATACTATATATGATTTTATGGTGTCTTGTTTCATCTGGATTAAAAATAAAATAGTGTTTAATGCGAATTTGAATGAGGGACCAATTAAATTAAATATAATTCATTAGACGTTAGTGATTTTTCGTCCATTGTTCATTAAAGAGTAATTCCGTGCACGTGACTTTTCATGCTTCTCTCAAACAACGCGCAAATTTTTTCTTTTTAGCCTTTTCCGTATTTTGCTATAAAATTTTCGTTTATTTTCTGTCTCAAACTTTTGAATTCATTCGATCAATGATGTCGATTGTTTCTATCTTACCTATTATATGTCGACAAGTCAATCATATTGATTTGGTGAATCGTTGTCTTACTGAAACCATGCATAACCTCAAATGAGTTTTGTGTTAGATTTGTGGCTTTTCAATTTTTTTTACCCGCATTAGACAGTTATCGTTACACCGACCAGCTCTAAATAATTTATATCATTGTTTGTTTAAAAGTACAATTTAACAATCAATGATATTGGTTTCATGATTTTCTATATTTGATTTTACATATTAAGCTTAATTTATATCGTTATTTTGAGTTGTATATTCTGATGTTTGAGGCTCGGGTGGCGTAAATTACATACTTTACGATCAATTGTTGTCGATAACAAAAATATCTTGATCTTAGCTTGTATTTACTCTGGTTTCTAAACTTCATATTTCAAGTGACTAGTCTTTTCAAGAATAATTACGATGCACGTGACTCAATGTACGCACCGAGGCTATACACTGGCTGTGTTTATCTATTGCGGCTCATTGATGATAGAATATAAATCACAGCCCGGAGTAATTAATCCTTCAAATATATATGCGTAAAATAAATTCTTGATATATATATATATTATATATTCATAAATATTACCCTTATAATTTTGTTTATATTCAACGGACTACGTATTAGCATTTGCATACTATATAACTTGTATTTAAAACGTTATTAAAATATTTAAAATAGAGTAAATAATAATAAATCTAATTTTACAAATAGTCGGATTTTACATTTTCGATTTAATATATATATATATATATATATATATATTAATAAATAAAACTTTATACATATATATATATATATATATTAATATGTATATACAAACTATAAAATGAACTTAAAATGGAATTATTACAAAGAATCTTAAACCAGAAAAAATTTACGCATTTAATATATTTTCATTTTTTAATTTGTTTACTTAGTAATTTTTTTTTCAGGTTTTATTTAAAAGCTTAGTTTTTTAACTGCAAATAGGTTAGTACAACTTATAATACAATATTAAATTGTATAACTTTATCCTTTTTTTATAATTGTTATAAAAAAATTTCTATTTGTATATTTAGTGTATAAAACACCAATATATATATACGTATATATTTTAAAATTGTTAAACTTTCAATACAAATTATGCTTTACCAATTTTAAACTCTAATCTTATCTTAATTTTCGGAAGAACGTCTTTAGAATAGACCTGGGTTTATATACAGTACTATAGTTATTGCAGATCGAATTGTACGTATATACAATATATTGTACCCGATTTGTCACATTATATTTTATATTTTATAAAATTACTATAAACTTTGTAGCTACAGTATAATGTTTCTTAATATACATAATAACTTTAAATTAAATTTTGCAAATATATAGCAAATTAAAATTTTGCTAATTTTGCACAATATGAAATATAAACAAAAAATATAATATTAATAAATAAATAAAAAAGATTTTTAAAAATAGAAAATATTGCATAATAATTATTTAATTTTTTACTAGCAAATTTTTTAAATAATATTTTAATAATTTCAACAATCTTTGTTCTAACAAATAAAATTAATAAAATTCAAATTATTAATTCTTTTTTAAAAAATAGTAAATACAAAGTAAGGAAGTGTTATTTATCATCTGATTTTTTTAGCAGAGAGGTGGGTGCCAAAATATTATACTAATAGATCACATGTATATATGTTTATATATAATTATAATTATTTGGGAAAGGAGAAAGATTTTACTATTTACAAAAAATCAGATAATATATAATACTTCCTATACTATTTTTTATTTTTATTTTTTTTAATGTTTAAGATAAGATCTTGCTTTTATTTTGAATACTCTATAGAATAGGTGGGCAATATAAAAAATAAGCTTCATTATTGATTAGTAATTATTAATAGATACTTAGCGGAGTTGCAAAGCTTACTCACCTATTTTATAAAACATCTTTTATTTTTATAAAACTTTTTATATAATTGGAAAAGGTTTTATTAGTAATAAAAATAAAAACTCAAATATATAACTAAGAGAACCTAATATTTAAATAGATCTATTGTAATAACATATTTGTAGCCTAAGCCTAACAAAATACTATTTTGTGATATTAAATTAAAACAAGCTAAACATTTTTATATTTTTAATTTTTTTTTAAAATCTATTTATAAAAAAGTTATAACAAATTAAAGTTATAATTTAGCCACCTTTTATATATATATAAAAAAGCAAATTTAACTTTTTTATTTTTTTTATTTTTTTTAACGACACTGCCTCTTTATTACTTATTATAGTGAAATATACACGAATGTACATTATTTTTACAAGATTTTCAATATATTATTGGTTACAAATTTCTAACTAGTACTTGTTATGCTGCTATCACCAAGTTCGTATCTCAAGCTACCTTTTAAGGTACTGCCGAAACCCGATCTGTATCTCAAGCCACAACCTTTCTAATTAGTTATCACTTACCGCAGATGTCCCAGATCCCTCCCCCTGTGGTGTTTCAGTTCCTGAACTTCTAGAACCACCTTGAGTAAGATATATCAAACCTTACGGCCTAGTATAGTCGTATTAACCTCATTTACCTTACTATTGGTCCTCACATCCCGTGAAGTTTGCTTACCCCGACTCCGAGTGCCTCCGGATCATTGGATGGTATGATATTTCCATTTTGCTAGATATCACATGTCCCACACATGTGTTCTTTATCTAAACTTCAGTAACTTACGCCATGGCTCTACCCATGTACTTGGGGTCAGGGCTAACCATTGAACCTCTGTGATTACCTACTTCCACCCTTATTAGGTTCTTAACAACCCTGATACCCGCATTTGGACCATCTTCTTACCCGGA